TTTGTAATGCTATCTTTAATTCTCTAATTTTGGTGAATATTTTTGTCATTTTTGGTAAAAAGTGATATTTTCGACTTCTTGTTAAAAACCACAAGTCCAATTGCTTTGATATTACATATATAGGTACTACATGTGGACCACTCTCAAATTTGTTCATTTTGTAATGATATCGTCAATTCTCTAATTTTGGTGAATATTTTTGTCATTTTTGGTAAAAAGTGATATTTTCTTCTTGTTAAAACCACAATCATTTATGGTGAAAAATGATATTTTTGAATTCTTGTTGAAAATAGCAAGTCCCATTGCATTGATACTATACGTATTGTTCATTTTCTAATGATATCTTTTGTTCTTTAATTGAAATGTGCATTGCTAACAGCGGAGCTATCTCAGCCGAGAGGATGCTTGTTATTGATAAATAGTTGATATTGTAGCATATTTGTGTCATATGTGAAGTTTATTCATCCAGAAAGAATTTGATATGTACAGATTCAATTCAATTTAAACTAATTTAAAAATGAGCTAAAAAAAACTGAGCATTTCTTTTTGTGTGGAATTGTTGTTAACTAGTAGTCCGATGTGTGGTAGCTGGATTACTATCGTTATAACAGACCTAGGTGTTGTTCATGTTGCTAGGTGTCGTAATGGACATTCACCAACATCTAAACAGTGTTGTTTATCATCTGATAATGACACCATAACTGCTTGATTGCTACTAGATGTCACCATCAATTCTGTGGCAAGTCTATTATGAGGAAAAGTGTCTTTGGTTGAACAAAGGAGACCTCCTGCAGATATATAACACCAGCGGTTTCTCCAGTTCTGTCTGAAGATGACCAAGTACCTTGGTTGGATTTCGGGTTGATTGAAATTCCTTCCTTCAAGCCATGCTTTGTGACCATTTGCTATTCATGTTCAGAAGGCCTTTAAATAAAAGTCATTATTAGTTGCTTCTAGTTCTAGCTCTAGCTAAGCTGTTCACTCCCATTGATATGGTGAGGCTGTACTTCTGAGTTACCTTACTGACCCTGAAGTTTATGATTCTATGTCTGTTTCTTCAGGTTTCGCAAACTCATCAAGGTTGGCTACACCATGTATGATGTTGGTCCTTGTCATACATGCATGTTTTGGTGTCCCCGCAAGCCGCAATATACTGCGTATCTTGCCCATCGATCCAGGAAGACTACTTGACATCATTTATCCATGATTCTCTGTAGTCACCCAGCACAGCATTGCCACTTGACTTATCAATAACAATCTGTCGTTGATTTACTTGTAGGATGTGCAGCTTACAATGTATTTCACCCTGTGCTGTTTCAAAAAGCATTAGATGTGTTAAAGTTATGGCCAGACGCTGGTAAGTCATACATAAAATTGACATGTTCATCACTGCATTCTCCATATATACACAGAAGTGGAAATTTGGACAAGAAAAGTTGGCCACATGGACAGCCATCCTATTAAACTGGCTGTCTCCATACAAATAAAGATGAAGTTTCAAACAATGGTTTTCATACTATGATGATTGGATTATGTCATTTCTGTGTTTATTTTCATGATTGTCTTAATGAGCCACCAGTTTTTATACAAGATTTTAGATACAAAATAAAATTGTCTTTTCAAATGCCATAATATCATCAAATTGCGAAAATTAAATGGTTTACAGTATTACCGTACTCGACTGCGTTAGTGCCCAGGCAAGCGCCCACCCCCCACTTTTGCTCATTTTTTTATATTTGAGGTCACATTTGGCAAAGCGCCCACCCCTTCAAAATGCAACTAATTTAAAACTTGGTCTTGTGTAACAAATCTTGGTAATCGTTTTTATATGAGACAGCATGAATATCGACTGCTGTGAACATGTTGTGAATGCGTAGACCACGGTAACCATCCGTAAACTACACTTCTACAATGACCTTAATGTTAATACAAGTAAAATGCGGCAAATATTTCATGCCATATTCAGTTTACCTCTCAAAAATGGCTAGTTACTAGTTTTATGGAAAAACCATGTCGTTTATTTGCTGAAATCAATTCTAACAGATCGTACTTCGACATCGATAATTCACTTCCGCATTCCAAAGAATTGCATCGGTACAACACAGCATTCTGATTGGGTAATAACCAACTCGTTAGGTCAAAGGACGCTGCTGCAGGTAAAATCTGCAAATGCATCATGGCGGTAAGTGATTTTCATCGAGAGTTTGTGTACACCATCGTCAGTGGAGATAATGAGAATTTTTACTTCGACTGTGTTCCAACAGACTCTGTTTTTAATTTCGTAAATTCTGGTGGTACGTAATTAATATTGTAATAAAATGTGCATATTTTTTGTGATCATTTCTGTTTCTTCATTATGAAAATCAATGGAGACGCAACTAATTTCGCAATGTGATTTTCCCTCAAAGACGTAATCTGTCACATGATGAATCAAAATTTTCATTTGCACTCTTTTTCGAGGGGGGTGCTAGGGTAAGCGCCCACCCCTAAAAAATCATGATTTTCTGAGTTGAGGCCTCTGGGCGCTAACACGGTCGAGTACGGTAATACTATATCCTAATGAAAATGAGGGATGGGGTCTACTTCATCGTTTGTGAGTGGATATTTTAGGTTAAAATTTCTTTCATCAGTAGGTGGAAAGCGTAAACGCAAAGATGCACTGGTTACATCATCTCAGGGAGGTGGTAGGAAAGGACGTAAACATCCGAGAAGACAAGAAGACGACAATGTAATACAAGAGGATTTTGATTCTGATAACGATGATTCCATAGCTGAGCTTACTCCACAAGATATTAATGTAATAAAACGAAGATTGTTGCACCTGACGAGGGTGGGTAAAAAAATTATCGCTCATCGAATTAGCAACAGAAAACGTTTGCAATCCTGCCAGTCTACTGTTAACTACTTTTTGCCAATTTCACAAGTCTCTTTTTAGTGACAATTAAAACAGATCACAAGAATTTTGGGCAAATTAAAAGTACCAAAGCATTTTGGTTTGACAAATTGATGAGTCCCATAAATATGCAGAACATACCGGTATTGCAACATATAGTTCATTTTCTTATTGTGACAACTTGAATTACCTTAATGATCCTATTAACTTGCATATTTATTTGCTTACTAAGTCGACTTTATTTAATTTATCTACTTGGATAGGTTATAATTATTTGACCTTGTTTGTAAAGGATGTCCATACAGTTTTAATAATTTTGATAAGCTAATCTAGGAAACTCCAAAATCTGCTTCCAGTAATTCACAGTATAAGAGATGATCATCATTTTGGGACAAGGGGTTCACTTGTAATAAATATACACGTAAATTGTCAAATCCTTCTAATAACTTTATCAAGACTACACAAAAGTAATAATGCTATCTTTGGGTTAGTCTTAATTTTTCAATTCATTTTAATCATTCCCTATATCTATTTCAATACGTAGGAGTTTTTTCTGTTTTCAGGAACTTGTTCGACTTTTGAAAAGTTTCTCCATGAAGGAGCATGCTCAGGTGATTGACCATTTGTTTCTGGCTTTAATGGAACTAAGCAAAATCGATGGTGAATTTATGGATGGCAACTTCAGCACTGATTGGTAAGCGATGGAAATGGTGTTTACATCACACTTGCCTTCTTATTGTTCTTAAAATGCTATAAAGTAATTGTTGTCAAGTTTGTGATTCTTCGTCTCTACGTCAGTGACCTAAAATGTGATACAATCAAATATATGCTGAACAGGAAGTCCCCTTTTGGGACATACCATTATCATATTATGTAGAGTTTGTACTCACTAGGTGACATTTCAGTTGTTCTTAGTGGCAAAGATACCATGGCAACTGTTCTACTTGGCACCTTTTTCTACTAACATCTGGAATGGCTACCGGTACTAAAATAAATAGCTGTTATTCGTTGTTCAGAAAATTAGCTTATTCATATTAGCAACATGCTATTGTTATCAGCCAGAGGTGACGTATTAGGCATTTCAAACATTAAGAGTGAGTAACAAGTGGAACAGCGTGGCCACTAAATTAAAATGCCACCTGACGATTACCATATTTGCTCTATTAGTAGCTCATGTGCTTACGTAAATGACAGATGTCCACATAAATTGTATTTTTATAATCCAGCATACATGTACTATATATACAAATTTTTGGTTTATGTGCACTTGTATCGGAAAAGCGCTTCTAATAGAGCAAATACAGTACCTGTACAGAACAAATGCAAGGTATTGATAGCTGAATCGTTATGATTTCCTTTCTTTTTCTCAGCGATATCAATAAAATATCAAGTGTCAGTCAGTTGGCATACATGGCTTTCACTATATTGTGTACACAACTTCATGGTCCAGTCAAGGACATGCTGATAAAGGTATCGTACTATGTTATCGTGAGAATACTATTATTTATGTACTATATGGTGATTGCATCGATCGAGTACATACTTTCTGATATTCCTATAACTGCGTTGTTATACCATATTTTTCTTTGATTAGGTGCCACTTTGTTACACTTTTATTTCATGGTGATGCTTATTTGTAGTTAAATTTAAGCAACTTTGTTTCAAATGGTGCTCATTTCAAGCCATTGTTCTTGACCATTCTGGTGATACATTGTATCAACTTTATTTTAAATACTAAGTAAATGAGAAAGTTATACAAAAAGTATCATCCTTTAGAAAACATTCACAGCTTGGCATACGATCATCTAAGGAAAAATAAAATAAACACAAATGCATTGCGTAGTAGCAAATGGTCACGGTAGCGAAATCCGGTCATTAGAATTATTACTTAGTAGTAATTATAATAACATACAAAAATTAAATTCGTTGAATTGTTATGAAATGCACGTAAAATTCATCGTAAGCGAATGATTCCGGTGGCATGTAAACTCTCGATTCAGAACAATTTTCGTCATGTTTTTTCCTCACCTGAAATGATGTTCTTTGACCTGATAAGTCAAGTCGTTAAATAACCAATCAAAATGCTGGATGATGCCAATGTGTTCAAATTACCATAGCTCATTTAAATACTCTGTTAATGTAATGAACGCAACCTGGAAGTGATTTGCCGTTGTTGTAGTGCGATCTTTTGGCTTTGATTTTGATGGAAAAACAGCATGATTTTTTTTTTTTTAAATCAAGAAATTAGTCATTTTTGAAAGTTAAACTGAGCATTTGAAAAATAATTTAACATTGTTTACGGCGATAACAGCTCATTTGAAACAGAACATTTTATGGGCTTACTGTGAAATTTGCGAAATTAAAACCACACGAATTTTTCCTTCTACAGTAGGCAAAAGAGACATGTTTCAAGAGACTGTGGACTGATTTCTTATAATTTGTTAGAAACAAAACTAAATTTTTTGCATAAACACCCATCGTGCAGAAGCAGTGAGGGACTTCCGTGATTGCTTCTATCGCTACCAACATGTTAATCTTGACAGTTTCAGATATGGGTTTTTAGTTTTTAGTTTTTGATTAAGAGTTGTTAATTGTTATAAACATCTCGTGTAGGAAGAAAAAGACCATACAAAATCATTTTGTATTATGGTGACAAAAGTTGACAATGGCACTCAAAGTGTTAATGGCTGCCAAAAGTGTCACAGGACTTGTTTTTGCCCCCACAAATATTCTATATTCTCCTGTCATTGCTGCAACTGTTGATTTATGTAACCATGGTGATTGTAGCATTGAACCTGATGGCAGGAAGAATGGAACGATATTTGAGAGGTAAAAATAATATTGCAGGTCTCTTTTAATGAGATCTTGGCGGCCATTTTTAATAATGTAAATTGCAAATGAAAATATTTAAAATGTATTCTACAATATTATTTTTTGTTGTTTGCTAGACGTTTTATACGCTAATGCCGAATATTCTAATGTTGATTGGAGAGAATAAAGGTGTTGCTGCTGCTACAATACCAAGGTCCTTACAGATGATAAAAGATCAGGCTGTAGCATATATCTGGTAAGTTGTCATGACAACTTAAGACAGCTTGAAACATGCATATGCTGGACTGTTTTCTCTACTTTTTTGTATTTGCTCTATGCCCCCCAAAGTTGTTTATCATTTTTTAGCTCCTCTGTCAACTTTGTCAAGTAGAGTTTATCATATGAGTGATTGTCTGGTGTCAGCATCAATTTTTTACCTTTTAAACATCCTCGCGAAAACTTCAAGTGTGATACTTGGTTTGATACTTGGTTTATATGGGAACCTTTGCTTCACATATTTTTCTGTGCAAGTGTGACACAGACAGTAAAACTGTTTCAAAGCATGTTTTGTCAATACCAATCAATCATTGACACATTAGCTGAAATTGGGTACCGGTAGTCAAATTTAATTTAATGGGAGGAAAAAAAATGGCATCTGCCAATGATGTGTTCATGCCTGCATTCAAAATCAATATGTAAGAAATGTTAAACATTAAGCTTTAGACCTTGTTGTGGCATTAAATAATCTTAATACAAAAAAAAGTTTAAATGCCAACCACATCATCACAATTTTCCCTTGGATGAGAAGCAACACAAGCATGCGCTCACCGAAATGTCAAGAATGTGTCTATGGTCAAAATAAATCCTACTTTAATCATCATGCATACAATAAATGCAGTTCTTGGAGATGTGCTACTAATGGAGTAAATATGGTGTATGAATTTTTGTTTGTTTTATAGCCATATGATTGAATTGCAAGGAAAAATTGCTCTGACTCCTGCTCGTACTCTGCTCCAGAATGTGTGTTTCAAAGCACCCGACAGAACAGAGTACAGAAGCAAAATAGCAGAAGCCGTTGTGAAGATACTTGATGAGTTTCCTGATGTGGAATATGCCAGCTTTCTGCAGTGGTTAGTGAAAATGTCCAGGCAAGAAAAGGTATGTGATATCAATATTTTATGTGTTACATAAGGTAAAATTGACATAATATTGCAGTGACTGGACTGGACATAGTTTTATAATTTGTGGATTTTGTAGAATTTTGCGATGCATCTCAGGATTCTCCCACATTCTAAGATTCTTCAAACCAAGACTTCAGGTTCCCAAGTCTCTCTAACATCCAGAAATTCTCTTTCATTCCAATATACTCCCACATTCATAAATTCCCTTTCATATAAAGATTCTTCTACATCCAGAGATTCTTTTTGATGTTGGAGAATCTCGAGATGAAGGAAAATCACTGGATGTAGAAGCATCTTGTGCTGTGGGAAAATCTATAGATGAAGTAGAATTTCTGGATGTTTGAGAATCTTGTGATGATTCTTATCATTAGTCCCCGTCTGAAAATGGGGACTTATGTTTTGACGTCCGTGCGTGCATGTGTGTGTGCGTGCCTGCGTCTGTGCGTGCATCCTGTATCTTAGAAATACCTGAACCAATCACAATCAAACTTCACACATACATCTTACATTATATTATACATATGCACGTCAATTTGTTTCACGATCTGATTCAAGATGGCCGAATGGTGGCCATTTTTGTGCTAAAAATCATCAAAATCAACCATTTCTCGGCTGTTTACAGATGGATTTTGTTCAAACTTGGTATATACATAAAACATGGCACCTTGATGCAAATAATTTTGTTTTTCAGATAAGACTGGCGGCCATTTTGTATTAATGAATGTGGTTCTTGTGCCATATCTCTGACTTGCTTTCACTGATTATGTTCAAATTTTAAATATTCATTATACATCATGTCACAGATAGACAGATATATTGGTTTGACTATCCTATTCAAAATGGCCGAATGGTGGTCATTTTTGTGCTAAAAAATCATCAAATATCAAGCATTTATGGTTGGATTTCGTTCAAACTTGGGCTTGGGCTTCTAGAGCCATATCTTTTGAATGCTTTGCCTTATTATATTTAAATTTTATATATTAGTTATACATCATGTTATATATATACATGTATTCAAAATGGCTGATTTTGAATGCTGTTCCAGAGCAATATCTCTCAATGTGGACAAGTACTTGTTTGACAATCAGATACAAATGTCAATCATTTTAATGTTAAAAAATCATATTCCTGACATGGTTATATTCCAGCTATATTATTTATTCGTGATTTCATTAGTGTATCTAATTCAGTTATCTGGACAAGTTTAGCAGATGTTTAAAGAATTGAGATGATCATCAAAAAACGTTCAAAGCTCTTTATTATCTGCAGTTTCATTCAAATGTTTTTCATTTTTCAGACTGGACACTGCACATTTGCCATTGAGACAGCTGGTGTCTTGTTAGAAAAACCAGTGAGAAAACCAGATGGTATGAAATCACTTTCAATCTATGTTTTACATGTGCCATAACCAGCGCTCTTGCTTTACTCAGCATATCGCTAGTGCTTTTTAAGAGTTTATGTTAAATAGTGTATTTTAAACATTGGTTTTATAAAAGGGGGTTTTCAAATTTATTGGGTATTTAGGATCTTTTTTGTATTTCACAGAAAATATTTCTGCAGAAGATGCCAAGTTTTTATCACACCAGTTTCTGCTTCAAGAGATCATCCTGTCCAGAGTGTCCGATAAATCACCGGTGTAAGTATGGCCATTGCCATAAAGTATACAAATTAGATTTATTGTTTGGTGGTGGGTGTTGGCTAATCAGCCAATAGAAATTCAGTTTTGTTGATCAACTCTTAAACATATGAGTGAGAACCAGTGGTGGGTCTTTGAGGATTTCTCATTTAGTGTTATGTATTGTGTAGAGTTCATGCCAAGGCTTTGCTCATTATGATGCATCCAGTGTTGACTTGCCTCTGATGAAAACCTTTTGTGCTTTGTTCAGAGTTCGTGCCAAGGCGCTGTCATCTTTTGCTCATTACGCTGCATCCAGTGATCCAAACATACAGCAAGTCATGAGAGAAGTATTCACACCTGCTCTGTGTACACCAACTATCATGGCAGGACCTGCTGCCAAGTTCAAAAATATTGAGAGAATGAAGGACACACCACAGGTATTAGTCAATGGAAAAGAACTAACAACACCAGATAACCAGACTGCCACACCCACAAACCAAGCGACATCGCCAGGTATCCAAGGAGGTACCCCCAACATTTTAACTCCTACAATATCAGACGGATCAATCGGAAACAATTCAGGTATGAAGCTGTCATTAATTTAATTTTAAAATGAAATCACTGGTTTTTCAAACTTGCTCTCTCGTCTTGTCTACTTCCACTATGAAGGTTAATGGCTTTCAATTCCATGATAGGTTTAGCTGGTAATAGTGAAAACAGTTTTCTCACCAGATTCTGTTTTTGTGGGGCCATAAAGGCCCATCGTTTGAAAAAAGCAGGGCCATAAATTATAAAATAGGGCCGGGGGTAAATTTTAGTTTAGTTTTAGTTAAGTTTAGGGAAATGTTCACCTACCTGTCAAAGGATGAAAATTTCCATGGTGTAACCATTAATGGGTAAATAAAGTTGGATCAAGGTAAAATTGCAGCCCTTGTTGAGTTAACATATATAAATAATCATAAAG